CCCCTGCTTTATTTAGTCGGGGATAGCCGAGAGTGTAGCTTGTTATTGCTATTTACTGTTTGCTTATCCTTTAGCTCTTTCGAAGGTGGAGGTACCGGTGTGGGGGCCACATCGTGCACTGCGAACATTTCTCTCGCCGCATGTTGTTCCCCGTAGACGGTCTTAATCCCATCTTTTGTGGGGAATTTCATCATTTTATGGAGGGTGGAAAGTACCGCTCTCATGCAATGTATCCATGGCCTTTCGATCAAGGAGTTGTACCTCATGTCTCCATCGATAACATGGAATTTGACATTTTGGGTTGTGCCGAACACATTGACTGGGAGGGTGATTTCCCCTTTTGTTGTTTCACTCGCCATGTTGAATCCGTTGAGGACTCAAGAGGCGGGTACGATTTGGTCAAGCAGGTCGAGCTGCTCTACCACCCTGGATCTGATAATGTTGGCCGAGCTACCTGGATCCACAAGTACAAGTTTAATTTGAAATGTATTTAAAAGAAAAGAGATTACCAGTGCATCGTTATGAGGCTAAGACAATGTCTCGATGTCCTCATCGCTGAAAGTGAAGGCATCCTCGGGTATGTAATCTCGTGTTCGTTTTTCTCTGGTGATGGATATTTTTGTTTATCTCATCATGGGCTCCTGTGGGGCATCGATGCCTCCCAAGATCATATGGATGACATGTTGTGGCTCATTCGTTTCATTCTTCTTGGCCGCCTCTCTCTCGGAATTGATTTTTGGCCTGATCGCTGAGGAACTCTCGGAGGTGACCTTTACTGAGTAGCCTGGCTACTTCCTCTCAGAGCTGGTGGCAATCCTCGGTCCTGTGGCCGTGCGTGTTGTGATATTCACACACTAAGTTATGATTTATTTTCAAAGGATCTGATTGCACAGGCCTCGGCCACCTAGCGTATTTGATTTTACTGATGGTGAACACGATGTCTGATACATCTATGTTGAAGTTGTACTACGACAAGCGAGGTGCCTCTGTTGGCACCGTGTTCATGTCGAATCCGGCTCTGTTGACGAGTCCCCTATGTTTCTGGCCTCGGTCCATCCTTCAATCATTGCGGGGTATGTTACGCCTCGGGGAGTTTCTCCTGTCGTCAGTGTATTGCTGGTACCTTTCCTTGTTTGGCTTCGGCTCCTTCGCCAGAAGCCTGCTTGGGTATACCGAGCCCGAGGGGGCTCCTAGTTGGTCATCCACGACCCTAATTTTTGAATGATATCAGTTGTGAATGTCCGACTAGGTCACGGCGGGATATTCGACCAGGCTCTGTTAAAGCTACTTCGAAGCCACCAAGCTTCGCCATTCAGACCTTGAGTGAAGGCATGTACTGCCCAATCGTTAGAGACTAGTTTTAGTTCCATTAGTTCCATTTGAAAGCGAGATACGAACTCTCACAGCATCTCGTTCTCCCTCTGCTTGATCTTGAAGACGTCAGACTTCCTTGTTGCTACTTTGATGGCACTGGCATGTGCCTTTATGAAAGAATCTGCCAGCATGGCAAATGTGTCTATGGAGTTAGGAGCTAAGTTGTGATACCACATCATGTCCCCTTTCGAGAGTGTTTTCCTGAACTTCTTTAGCAAGACAGACTCGATCTCGTCGTCCTTTAGGTCGTTGCCCTTTATTGCGCAAGTGTAAGAAGTAACTTGCTCATTGGGGTATGAGGTTCCATTATATTTCGGAAGGTTTGGGATTCTGAACTTCTTTAGAATGGGTTTTGGAGCTGTTTCCTCTAGGAACGGCCTTTGTATGAACTTCTTCGAATCCATCCTTTTTAGGATCAGGGGTGCACCCGAAATTTGGTCGGCCCTGGAGTTGTAGGTCTTGACCTTTTTGTCATTGGCTTCTATCTTCATTTCGCCCGATTTGATCCTCTTTGTGAGGTCCTCGAGCATCTTTACGATGGTGGGGTCGGCCATCGACCCGTTGTTGCTTGATCTCTCCGGTACCTGCTCGACTGGAGGAGCCATCCCCGGCGCTACCTTGCTGGAAGTTTTCTGGTCACTTTGCAGCTGAGCAATCGCTAGCTGTTGTGCCTGCAACATTTCAAAAATAACGTGAAGGATAACCTCCAATTCTTCCCTAGTCGGGGTTTTCTGAGCTTCTTGTTGATCTCCTTGGTGCACGCTCCTGTTGGTGTAGGAGCTTACATTGATGTGTTGAGCATCGCATAAGACCGCGTCCACGGGAATCGATTCTAGTGCGTTCTTAGGGTTTCATGGTGGTACACAAACAGTTGGAACATCCACAGCATTTTCTCTGTGGTTCTCAATATTATTGTTCATTGAGTCAGACATTTTGACCTGAAATCAAAGATCTTGGGCAAGAAAAAGTGTGAAAGATAATTTGTGTTATGTAGTTAAACCAGCAAGAAAATAATCACTATTACTTTTAGCCCCACGGTGGGCGCCAAACTGTTTACCGCAAAAATAATAATAACAATTAAATTTGATTAAATGGTTCTAAAAATACGTGAATTATTTTTATGCTAGTTGTTAGGCAGTTGATGTTATGTGAAAGACTTAGAAATGAGATAAGAGCTTAAAAACGAGATATTAACCAAACCGAATCGTTGTCAATCAGGGCCTCGAGGTTGCCTATTCGAGGATCTCGGGATCGAGTTCGCAGCTCGGCTGGGAAATATCGAGGGTGGTCGATGGAGACTAACAGTTATAAATAAATCAACAACGGTTCTTTATAGCCAATAATAAGTAATAAATGATGAACAATAAATAGAACGCAATAAATATGAGCATTAAATGAAGTAATGAGATCAAGAGAATATGTTAGAAAGCAGAGAGAATGTTCTTGAGTTTTAGTATTGACCAACAGATATCTACAAAATGACAAGGATCCCATTTATATAAGAGGGGGAATTCCAACATAGTACAAGTGCATTTATTACAAAGATATGGAGATGGGACAGCTAGTTAATGCCATGATACGGGCTCAGACTAGCCTGACAGACTTTGTCGGCTCTAGCATCACGCCTTGGGAACTCCCTATTTTCTTTTCGTAACCCTCGGTCTCCTACTGCCCCGAAGTTGAGCATCGATGGCCCCTGAAGGATGAAACTCAACCGTGGTCTCGAGCCTTCGAGACGTACCTACGAGGCGTCGTAACAATGAAAACTTGGACCCTTCGATTTTACCGTATACAGCATGTGACCACGCGGGGCAGATTGTATTTTTATGTATGTGACCATGGTGGGCGATTTATGATATTGTGTCTATGACCACGCTAGGTGGATTGTTATATTTGCAGGTGAGTTGCTCGTGCATCACGTGAGTTATCCGTACCGATTGATATTATTAGCACGTGAGTCATCCGTGTGGATCCAGATATTGATATTATAGCACGTGAGTTGTCCGTGCAGTTGATATTATTGGCACGTGAGTTGTCCGTGTAACATATGGATACAAATCCATCCCCCTAAGGTCACCCTCTCATGTTTCTCTCCTGATTGTGTACACGTGGATTGTGAGAAACCGACGGGTTTATGGTTGATGGAGCTCTAGGAGAGCTGTTTACTATTATATGGATTGAATTGCACGCTGCAACAGGCCTTATTCGCTTATTGTTAGTTGGATTGGGCTGCACCCTGTAACGGGCTGATATTTGGTTATTGCATTTTATCTTTACTTGTAATTTCGTTGACTGTTTATCTGATTTAGTTGTATATCTTCCTTATATGCTGGATAATATTGTTGATTGAGCTAAACACTTGAAAACAAAGATTTATGAGCACCAAGGCGGTTTTATCTGAGCTTTCCTAATTTTATCGTATATTTGTTCCATATTTTTAAAATTATGAAATGTACAAGTGATAGCGAATATCACGTATAATTCTTGCTTCTATTACCTCGCCGATATTAGTTACAATACTTATTGAGTATATGGGGTCGGTTGTACTCATACTATACTTCTGCACCTTGCGTGCAGATCTTGGAGCTGATGTTGATGTAAAATGGCGGGAGCTGCCATTGAAAATGTACCTTCATTATAGTCATCGCTATCACTCGTTCTTGGTAGTTCTAGATTTGAGATTTCGTTTATGTCCATTTCAATCAGACGTTGTATCATTTTTCTATCAATTTGTAATTCTAAAGCTTACTGGTTCGTGACTTGTACTACTAGTTCTTGGGTTGTTGTATATAAGGTTATTAATTTCATTTGGAATATGTTGACTGCTTGTTGGCTTACCTAGTGAGTTGGGTTAGGTTCCATCACGACTAGTGAATTTTTGGGTCGTGACAGGACCCCAACCATACACACGTACAAGTTCAAAATTATCATACGAAATTATCGGAATGGTCAAAATATCGATCCGAGCTCGTTTACAAATAATGTTGACCTTGGTCAACTCTAGCCATTTTCAAGTTAAAAAATTATGTCTTCTTTAATCATTCACATTTTGACTATTCGAAAATTAACACGGGTCATGCACGCAAGTCATAAATCATCCAATAGCGTCATGAAAGGTCTCAAGTCATAAAAAGAGGAGCTAGTACTTAAAATGGCCTATCGGGTCATTACACAGATCAAATACTGTAAAAAAACCTCCACCCTGTCAGTTGGCATTACTTAAATGCACAATAATAATAAAAGAGAGATGGAAAAAGAAAAGAATAGAAAATACGCATTCCTCTTGAGCATATAGAAAATATGCTTGAACAAAAGTATTTTTTAATAGAAATTGAGTCAAGAAAGAAGGCCGCTTAGATACTAGCGAAAAGGAAGATAAGAGATTAATTAATGGAGTCAAAATCAGTGAAATAAGACCACCATTTTATTTTGTCCAAATGATAAAATTATTATTTTATGCTGCTTCTAGGGAATAAATATTTCATTATTTATAGCAAAAAACGGAAACTAGATCCTCCAAACAAGTGTCACGTTACTAGAGAAAAGCTCATTTATAAAAACACCAATAAGGTAAGGTTACCCAATTTGTGAATAACATTGTTAGGCATGATGGAGACCTAAAGGAATTTACTTTTTACCAAAAGGGAGAATGTCCTTTCACTCATAACTAAAGAAACACCTGACCCTTTTAGAAAATGATTATAAAAGAGAGTTGGATTTTTAGTTGGATATGCACAAGGAAAAGCAAAAATATAGCAGCTATTACACAGAAAAAAAAATAGGAAATGGCAGGACCTGCTGGTTCTTCGTGCGGGGCATGCAAGTTCTTGAGAAGAAGGTGCTCCAACGAATGCATTTTCGCGCCTTACTTCTGTTATGAGCAGGCAACTAACCATTTTGCAGCAGTTCACAAGGTGTTCGGAGCAAGCAACGTCTCCAAGCTGCTTCTGCACCTCCCGCTGCACTGCCGGAGTGAAGCTGCTGTAACCATGTCATATGAAGCCTTGGCTAGGATGCAGGATCCAATTTATGGCTGTGTCGGTCATATTTTTGCACTCGAGCAGCAGGTTCATATACTCCTTTCTTTTTATTTTATATGGCGATATTTAATTTGGCACATATTTTATAAAATGACCATATCAAAAATATCATGACATTTCTATGGTTATAAGAACATATTAATTTCATTGAGGATGAAGTAGGAGGTTTAAAATAAGTGATTCCCAATATGTATAAAAGAAATTGCATTATTCTTTTGGATACATGCTAATGTCTTAAACTAGAATAGTAGCAATATCAAGTATCAATCCATTCAAGCGCTGGATATGACAGCTCTTTATGTTCATGATTATGAATGAAGAAATTTACCTTGTTGCAGGTAGCCAGCCTCGTAGAGGAGATTGAAATCACCGCAAACCAAATGGCCTTCTATGCGGGTGAGGTGCCCATGGAGAACACAATAAATACGTTACAATTCTCCTTGGAATGTAATAACATGAACGTGGGAAATAACCATGTGAATCATAGTATCACATCCCTAGCACATGTTAATGATACATCAGCAAATGAAGCTTTCATTACCCAGATGAATGCAGAACTTCCAGAGATAAATGGATTTGACAACTTATTTTCCAGTACCTTCTTTGATTTCGATATCTCAGATAGAGTTTTTGATGGACTAGACCTGATCTGCACTACCAATCCGTAGTGACTGGCAAAAAAATTTAAGCGAATAAAGTCAAGTTTTTCTTCGCCGGGAGAGTAGAGAAACAGGAAGTTCAGGGATTTTGTTTTGACAACAAAATGAGAATCCTGCACTCAGGCCTTGTTATGTTTTATGTTGTATATATAATGATGTTCTTGTAAGTTACTTTCTTCATTATGTGGTCCGCATTGTTTCTTCTGTTACATTTTCACGTTTAAAAGGTTAGCTTAATTATGTCTTTAATTGAATGAACTAACATTCAGATGAATGCCCCTAAATTTATTACCTCATAACGTTTAGATGGAAAAAATTTGCATTTGTTGTTTACACGTAAAACAGTACAGTTAAATTTGTTACGTGGTTTATAGACAAGTGAATTGATTTGATTCAAAAATAATAATGAAATAAGATTAAAAATAGGACATAGCATTTAAAATTGAAGAAGACGACAAGCCTGACTCCGAGGATAAAAATGAATGTAATGTAAAAAAGCAAATAAAGTTGTTTAATTGAGAGCAAAAATGGAATATAGCATATGTTTTTCCCAAGAATTTCGTCGCTTACAATGGCCGTTGAGCCTATTATTTGTAGCTATGTCTAGGAAAACAAGATCCTAGGATCTAGCCCACTTAAATGATAATAAAGGGGGCCTTGATAAGTATGTAACGACAGGCCATGAATGCAAACATTCTCTGCAACGGCCGCTCATTTAATACGAGAGAATATTCCCTTATTGAATGCTATTCGATAGCAAATACCCGATCTTCTTTCGTTGACTATGTTCCCTTCGGGATCTCCCCGACCTAAATCACAGTTGATGTGTCCGGTACTGATTGTAAAATATTTCCCTTCAGCAAAATATTTCGCCGGTTTTCAAGGTAATCAATAACAGGATTTTTGTCGTCTATATCTTTACTTCTACTCATCACTTTACCTCTTTACTTTCAAAATTTTTGTTGTCATAAACCCTTCATTTCACTGCTTTAACTCTACAGTTGCTTAGAATAGTTTTCATCTTCCTCAATGTTTTTAGCAAAAATTTTATTGCCTCCTTGTTACCATGGCTTCTTCTATTGCTTTCCTTTAAAAACTATGGCCTTCTCTTCAGTGGAGGCCAAGAGGCCGATTCTGAGCCTCCTACTGTAAACACCATCATACCCAAACACCTGAGTACTGCTAATGACTTCCAAGAGAAGGCTCCATCTGTGTCTTCACGGACTTGTGTTGTTAGTAGGTATCCCTCCTCCGTTCGCCCTTCTGGTATCCCTGTAGTGAAAGAGGAGTGCAACTACCCTAACCTCAATATAGTCGCTCTGGATATATGATAGAGCGATTTACCTTCACCAAGGAGGGTTTTACGTATGTCTATATGTATCCCTTTACCTTGGGTCTATTTTCCTTATTGTCGAATGAAGGGTTCAACCCCGTAATTTTGGAGTTTTGCCACCAGTATCGGGTCTGCTTGGCTCAAGCAGGACCATATATATGGCGAATGGTGGCTTGCCTACGCCAGTTGAGCACGGCGACTGGAGAAACCTTAACCCTTGCACACATGATGAATCTCTACTCCGCCAAAATATTCCGTGGGAGAGTATTAAATTTTAGCAAATATGGCCACCATGCTATTCTCACTAGCATGGACGATGAAAATGATCGCGGGTGGATGGAGCAATTTGTCATCGTCGCCATCAGAGACATCATCCCGGTCACATCTCCGCCTTTTCCTGAGTCGTGGAACAATTTTTGTAAGTTTTTGATCCATTTCCTTCCTTCGTGAATAGATTGATTTCCGTTATTGCTGACCTCTTCGTTTCTTTTGTTTTAACTACCCGGTAGGAACCACCAGAGGTTCAAGGCCTGGACCAATGGATTCAGAAGATTTTGGAAATTACAATGCCAAAATTAGACGAGGAAGTCCTTCCTTTTATCTTTGCATGAACATAGGTAACTTCGACATAAAAGTTGTTAAATCCATTTTTTGCTTAATTCAAGACTTCCACAGGGCTCCATCACCTGCACCAAGGTCAACATTTAAACCGACCCCAATGAGGACATGAGGGTGCTACAAAGTGCCCTTGCTCAAAGAAGTACACGCAAACCTGCTTTCGGTGAAGGTGCTTCCTCTCGAAGTGCACATCCAGAGAATAAGCAACCAAAAAGGCGACGTTCTTCCTCGGTTGGGGCTTAAAATGAGAAAATAAAGAAAGCAACAGTCGAGCTGGCCATAGTGGTTATTTTTTAGGATGGGGAAGCTAGTGATGAAGTGACTCCCCTTCAAAGGAAAAGAATCTCTTCATCAGTTCAACCAGATACTCAGTGGGGAGAGCTTCAAAACCCGTATGCAGGAGAAACCCAAGAACTTTTGGGCGAGATAGACTTGGTGGATAATGTCAATTCTTTTTTCCTAATCCCCAGTACTGTCTCTGATCCAAGGAATTCGGGCCCTCAGCTTCCTTTGCCTTCGGCCACTAAGAAACCAATAATTAGCGTGTCTCCTGCAGCATCTTCTTCTCAACCTTCAAATCCAATATCTTCACGCCCTTCAACACTAGTTGCACCTTCGCCACCAGCACCTACTGCATCTCCTCCCTTCCCCAGATCCCCAAGAGAGGAGAAGTACTATTCTTTTGGTTTCGAAGGAGTGCCATCTATTATCCAAGCTGGAGGAGCTTGTGAACTACTTGAAGCCACTGTCTTTAGATAAAGATAGGAAGAAAATATGCTCCCTTTCCGGGGAGTGTTGAATAATTCCATGCACAGCGCAACATCGGTACCGTACTTATTTTCTTAAAACTTCCTTTCCATTTATCACCTATAATGGGAATTCTAACTTTGCTATATTTTTTCCATTTATAGGCCAACTTTCTTTCTTCCAAGGGCATGCTGAAATTGATCACCGATAAGCAAGGACTCGCTTCCAAGTGGGATCAACTGTTGGATGAAATGGACCAACATGATGCCCGCCTCTTGGTATTGGAAGAAAAAGCTGCTGAGGCGAGTGAGCTTGAGGCCTGGTTGCAGCAAAATGAAGAAGAGATGATAGACCACATCCAAGAAGCTACTCAATTACACGTACAACTTCAAAAGGCTAAGGCTAAGTTGGCTGAGCTCCAAGATATTGTGCTTGTTGTTGCTGAGCACGAGTCGGCCTCGAAGGACCAAATAAGTAACCTGAAGGCTGAGCTGACCTCTAAAATCGAGGAAGCCAATGCTGCCAAGAAGAAGATGGCCAAAATAGAGGAAAGTTTTAAGAGAACAATAGAGCAAAATCGGATCCATTTATCCACAACTATGGAACTTGATTCTCACATCAGCCCATGAGATCCGAAAGGGACGACCTCTAGTCCGAGGTTTCTAGGCACAAACCCAGGCTCCAGTACCACGAGATTCCCTCATGTTTGAAAAGACATATGCTATATATCACATGAGGAGGGAAACCTTGGAAGAGGCCAAAGCAGGCATTGTCGATATTGATGATTGCATCATTAAGGCCTGAGAATTGGAGCTAACCACCCGAGAGAATGTTCCTGCTCGGCTTGTTGCAACCAACTCTTCGAGCATCGATTTTGAATACTCCAAAATCGAAGAGGAGCCTGAAGAAAATGATGGTGATGAAGGTCCAGGCCTCGAACCGGCAGTTGGTCCGCCTTCTTCCATGGGGTAGGAAGAGGACGCAGATCCCTCTCTCGGCAACGATAATGCTTAGATTCTTTCTTCTTCTTTTTTTGTACTTTGTAACCATGCCAAACTTTTCACCGGGTTTTGCATTTTGATAAATGAAGACAATTTTTGCTTAAGTGTTGTGCAAAATAATTCTTTTTCGTTGAATTAGTTAAAGCTTAAGGTATACTTTCATCCAATAGCTTTTGATTCCGGGCATAAATTCTTCCGGGGTTGATCCTTTACTATGAGGGTTTCATAAAGAGGGCCCTCTTATTTTAATGATGTACTTTAAGAGGACGTCTCATGTTCATTCATGCACAAGCATTTGAAATTTTTGTTAACTTTCAGATGATAAAATCAACTCATCGTTTGGATAAGAAACAAGATAAAAATAAAAGGACATTATTATATTCCTTCTATATTTGAAAGTACATAAGCATTCGTTTGCTAAATAAAAAAGAAAATTTCCAATACATGTGGCTAACTTGTACAACTTATTTATACGGAACTAGTCATGATGTCCTCGGTCCCGATGAGAAATTATTGTTCCCGATTCTCACAGTCCCTAGTTTGTGTTCCATTCTTGTTGTGGTATCTTATACTATTCTCCACCCCCCCACCCCACCCCCCACCCCCGTGTTCG